CTCGATATATATATATATATATATATATATATATGTACATATATAATCAATTACCAAGAAATACGGCTCATAAACATAACTGAACAACATGTTCTACTTACTTTTGATCCGCAAAAAAACGGAAGTCAAATTTCTCATAATTATTGCGAAATTTTACAAAAATCATATGGTGATCGTTAGCCAAAACATCCGTATAGACTCTGAAACCACTTGTAAAAGGCTAAAACGTTGTAACATTCGCATCCGAAGCGGATCTGGCTGGAGATATACTCCTAGATAATGAAACATTTCCACTTGGTTTTGCTTCTTAATTATTACGCACAATGATCACAGGAATGTTGTGTAGTTAACATTCCTCTTTTATATAAAATGCTTCTTAATAACCTCTAGAAGAATCTTTAGCATAAGCCCCTCAAGGAGAAGACTTTGATTCCACTGAGTAGTGAGTTATTAATATCTGATTTCGTGGTGATGGAGACTAAAAGGAATTTTTTAGAGTTTGACACTCAAAATAGGGTTGTTTTAACTCCAAACGCATTAAAGAAAGTATTTCTATTCATCTGCGAAATACAGATGAGCAAAGACTTGAATGTTTTGGAATGTCAAAATTTCTTTTCCCATAAGATCCTGGGATACACATGCAGCTGTGTTGTGTGATATACTTTGTCACTGTAGAGATAATTCTATCCTCGACCGTGAGTTAGACCCAACAACTACCCACTTATCCTCTCATACGACTTCACATCACAATAAACCCACATGACAAACATTCTAAAATAGACCAGAAAATACAACAAAACCCACATCCATTCTGCATCGATATCAGTAAATACCGATGACAGGTTTGTGTTACTCTGACTAGATTACGACAACTCTTTCGTCCCACTCATATTGCACTTCCCGTAGATCGCACCCCATGTCTGTGAAACACTTTTTTAAAGATAGCCTTCGTATCTAGGTGGTATTTCCTTATCGGTTTGGAAGGTTTGATGGTATTTAATACTATTTGCTACATATAATTCATTCTGAACAACCCACTTGTACTGACGATAGTCGGTAAACCATGAACTTTTATCTGAATTCTTAGTAAATACAAGGACGACCCAAATAAATTATCTTCATCTCTTACACATCGACAATCGACAATTACATTCATTAGGTATCATGTTAATCATGAATTTTTTCATACTACATTAGATCGTTCAGCCGATTGTCGCAGCCACCAGAAGTTCTTCAATAAAACTGAAAGCATCATGCAAAAAATCGAAAAAACATTTTTTTTAAAGAAATCTAAAGATTAAAAGATTTAAGAAAATAATATAGGTTATGGACATAGTGTGGAAGATCCTACGAGTCCTAAGATAAAGATACATGAAGTAAACAATTTACTAACGTCATTATAAATGATAGCAACATTTTAATTGATTTTAATCCAATGGATTTATTTAATTTTAATCTAATGCGCCAAAAATAAAAAGAAAGAAGCACAAGAAGAATATGAGTAACGTTATTTAGCTGAACTCCATCACTTAAATCTTTATACAGTCAAATGTGAAAAGATCACCTGGTAGAGTTAAGCATTGCAGTAGAAAGAAGAATGATATTGGGTGGACCAGGTGAAATTCGTCCACGCTGATTTCCCATGTACACAGCCCGTGATTCCTCATAAGTAGCACCACCGATAACAAAAAGAATTATGTTATCAGTACAGTTCCTGCAAAAGTTCAAAGATATATTCCATTTTCAAAATCATTTGTGCCATTATTTGGTGCTCTTACCAGCACTTTGAGCCGCTGACGTATTTTGGATTTGAGAAAAATGAAAAAAGTTTCACGACCTACCCAATCGAATTCAGCAAGGTTTTATCCTTAACTGATTAGCGGTCCGCAGAGCAATCAGCTCAGAAAAGATCAAATAATGAAGAAAGAACGGATTTGAATAGTTCGTATAATAAAAATCTAGGATGAATTGTTAATTTCCTTCGAATGTAAAAGAAAGGTGTTAATAGCATCATTATTTAATAAATTGATTTGAGAATATTAAACAGAGAACTAACTGCAGTGGTGGTAGTACGTAGGGGTAAGCTGTATCAGAGAGACGACCCTTGGATAGTGAATCGATTAATTCAGTAATATACGGTTCATGCTGCGTGTAAATATTTTCAACTCCTTTTAAACCTTTGATAAAACGTTTCGTCATTGCTATTGCTGTACCACCAAAAAGGTCATTCTGTCGGCGAGCTGAACCGCCGAAATCGAGAACGGCTCTTATTACCTGCATATACGTATCTACATATCACTGAATGGTTTTAGCGGTACTTCATTTTGTCTTTAATGAGAAAATGAAAAAAAGATCAGTTACAAAAAACAAAAAATTTTGTTGCCTTCTAAACTCTTTTTCTCCAAGAATTTATCACTTAAATATACCAGTCTTATGTCTCATGATTATATTTACGAAAAGTGTAATTTTTTAAGATCAATGAGAGAGGAGAAAAAAATTCTGGAAACAGTTCCCCTATGTATACATATACCTTGTATACATATACCTTAATATTTTGATTGCTCACACCTTTCCGTCTTAACAGTTGCACTAAGCCATGGATGTCGCTATTCGCATGATTCTCAAATCGCAGAGCGTATAACATCACCAGCCTCGTTGCATCCTGAATGACAATATACAAATACATTGAAAAGCACAAATAGAACCATTATAACCATTATCAGGATTTCTTCATCCATTCCATTTGTTTCTCCTTTTTTCCATTATCCATTGTGCTCCTGCTATCCCTTCCTATATATATATATATATATATATATGTATAGAGAGAGAAGAAAATAAATAA